TGCTTTCGGTCCAGGAATAAGTAAGGACAGAATGAAGAACTCTTGCTTCATGCACATCTATGGTAGAAGATTATATGGCATTAAAATTACTGGCCATGTATTGTGAACAGTTCGCAATGTACCAAATGGATTAAAACCAACAGAAGCTAGTCCTAGGCAGACATTACGAGGATCTCTAGCAAATTCGGGATATTTACTATCAAAACTTTTTCAAGCTTCAGAATCTGCAGGATGTCGTAGAACTCCATCTTTGTTGCGCTCTTCATGATGCCATCACATTGCTCTAAAAGTTTCTGAAGACATAAACAATCTCTGCATCCTTGGCTTTAAAGGAAAATACCTTAGGACCTTGGCTGGAATTTTTTTAACATTATTTTTCCATCTAGAAGCCCCACAAATTTTGTATTTATTGACATCCTTATTAGCAAACTCTTTCCTAAAAAGCATGCAATCGTTGGGACAAGCATGAATCTTTTCATACTTTAAGCCCAAGCGTTCAACTATCTTTTTAGTCTCGTAGAAAAAAAAAGGCAATGTTTCTCCTTCAAGCAATGCATCCTTCAATAATCCAAGTAAAGCATTAAAAGATTCATTTACCCATTTAAACATGCATTTTGTACGTTAGATATGTAGCAAAAAGGACAGTTTGCTAAAGTTCTTGCAACTGGGATATAGTTCTTCATTTGCCTCATTCATGAGTTGTTCAAACTTATCCACCTCTGTTTGAGGTTGATTTATAGATGGATGAGCACAGGTTTGGTTTTGTCTCACCCCTTTCACTAACGTCTCTCCATGAACTGTGTAAAACCTCCATATACATCATGTATCATTCCTCTCATCTCATCGCTCCTTAAAGTTGACTGGCTGCAATTAGTTATTTGAGTATTATTTTATTCCTTTAGAGACTCCTCATGAGAAAACAAGTATGACGGCATAATACCATTAACCACAAGATGATCATATGTTGTAGCCCGATTTACTTGATGGATAAGCAAATATTCTATACAAGGACAATTTTTTCTCCATCTTGTTTTTTTTTTAAAAAGCATGGTTTATAAAATCCTCTACTCCGTTCAAGTATTCTTTACTAACTTTATCACAATACATCCATCTTTTATTTCTAGGAATGACCATGGTATTCAAAATATATTTTTTTCTTTTCTGCAGTTATTGTAAGAGCTAAAAAAACATTAGTAAAAAAGAATAAATTCTTAGTGAATTAAGAAACGAGGAAGAAGCATACATTAGTAAAAAAGAATAAATTCTTAGTGAACTAAGAAACGAGGAAGAAGCAGACAAGATAAGAGATAATTGAGGTTGATTCCGTTATGAATAACTGAATTAGAAGGATTTTTATTAAAATAAAACTTATGTTCTCTTACTTCTCATGTAATTCAGTTAAATAAGAATTTTTCTCAAGATTCTAACTTCTAATTCATAAAGTGAGACTTCGGTTTGGCATTTTGGACATGAGACAGAATTCTTGTTTTCAATTCAAAACACGACAGAACCTATAAATATGATATGTGATACATAAGAAAACAACAACAACAATAATATACCCAGTATTATCCCACACTGTAAGGTCTGGGGAGGATCGTGGGTACGCAGACCTTACCCCTACCTTGTGAGAATAGAGAGACTGTTTCCAATAGACCCTAGGCTCAGGATAGTATAAGTACCACATTAATGAAAATATAGACAAGAAAGGACAATACCAAAAAGTCATATAAAAACAAAATAAACAACAAGACAATAAAGTGATCAATAATGAAAGAGAATAACAGTTAGTCATAAAAACCTACTACCAACAAAAAACGAGACTACGTGTCAATACTAATGTTATGAACACTCTACACTACCTACTCTACTAACCTAATTCTTGACCTCCATACCTTCCTATCAAGGGCCATGTCCTCGGTCAGCTGAAGTTGCGCCATGTCTTGCCTAATCACCTCTCCCCACCTCTTCTTTGACCTACCTCTACCTCTTTGTAGACCCTCCAATGTCAACCTTTTATACCTCCTAACCGGGGTATCTGTACTCCTCCTTCTCAAATAACCAAACCACCTAAGTCACGCTTCCCGCATCTTGTCCTCAATAGAGGCCACACCCGCCTTATCGCGAATAACCTCATTTTTTAGCCTACCTAACCTGGTGTGCCCGCACATCCATATCAACATCCTCATCTCTACTACCTTCATCTTCTGGACATGAGTAATCTTGACTGGCCAACACTCAACCCCATACAATATCATTGGTACCACCACTCTGTAGAACTTGCCCTTAAGATTCAGTGGCATCTTCTTGTCATACAAAACACCATAAGCGAGTCTCCATCTCATCCATCCCACCCCAATACGATGTGCGACATCTTTATAAATCTTCATTAAGACCCGAGGTACTTAAAACTCACTCTCCTAGGGATGACCTGCGAGTCCAGTCTCACTTCCCCTTCCCATCCTAGAATCTCGCAACTGAACTTACACTCTAAGTATTCTGTCTTGGTCCTTCTAAACTTGAAACCTTTAGATTCCAGGGTCTGGATCCATATCTCTAATTATGCGTTCATACTGTCTCGCGTTTCGTCAATCAATATAATATCATCTGCAAATAGCATGCACCACGGCACCTCCCGTTGGATATGACGCGTCAGTACATCCATCACTAGAGCAAACAAAAATGGGATGAGTGCGGACCCCTGATGCATCCCCATCATAACCGAAAAATGGTCCAAGTCCTCCTATCCGCCGTCCTCACTCGAGTCTTTACTCCATCATACATGTCCTTAATCAACCTAACATAGGCAACAAGTACACATCTAGCCTCCAAACATCTCCACAAAACCTCTCTCGTAGCCCTATCGTACGCCTTTTCTAAGTCGATGAACACCATATGCAAGTCCTTCTTTCTCACCCTATACTGCTCCATCAATCTCCTAACAAGGTGGATGACTTCTGTAGTCGAATGCCCCGACATAAACCCAAATTGGTTCTCGAAAATAGTCACACTCCTTCTCACCCTTAGCTCTATCACTCTCTCCCAGACTTTCATAGTATGACTAAGCAGCTTGATACCCCGATAATTATTGCAATTTTGGATATCACCCTTATTCTTGTATACAAGAATCATCGTGCTCCACCTCCACTCTTCGGGCATCTTCTTCGTTCTAAAAATGACATTAAATAACCTAGTGAGCGACTCCAAGCCCTCCTTGCCCATACTCTTCCAAAACTCTACCGAAATTTTATTTGGCCCGGTCGCTTTGCCCCTGCTCATCTTAGCACCCTCAACTTCATTAACTCTAATCCGCCTACAATACCCAAAGTCACAATGACTCCCGGAGAGTTCCAAATCACTTAGTACAATGCTCATTTCCCCCTCCTCGTTCAAGAGACTATGTAAGTAGGTCTGCCATCTCTGACGGATAAGTCCCTCATCTAATAAAACTATACCTTCTTCATCCTTGATGCATTTCACTTGGTCCAAGTCACACGTCTTCCTTTCTTGCGCCTTGGCTAACCTGAACAACCTCTTATCCCCACCTTGGCCCTCGAGTTCCTTATACAGACGACTAAAAGTTGCAGTCTTGGCCGCCGTAACTGCTAGCTTATCCTCTTTCTTAGCCAACTTATAATGCTCCCGATTCACCTTTTTCTCCTCCTCGTCTACACTTTCCACCAGCTTTAGATACGCTGCTTTCTTGGTATCCACTTTTCCTTACACCTCTTTATTCCACCACCAATCTCCCTTGTGACCACTAGAATAACCCTTTGAGACCCCTAATACCTTTCACGCGGCTTCTCTAATGTACTGCGCAGTCATGGTCCACATAGTGCTTGCGTCCTTACTACTCCTCCAAGCCCCCATAGTCACCAGCTTGACCCCCAACTCCTGCGCTTTAGCTTCCGTCAAGGCTCCCCACTTTATCCTATGTTGGCTATACATCGCCCTCTTCCTTATGATGTCAAGGTCCATGACCAGGAGCCTATGAAAGGTCGAGAGGTTCTCACTTGGGATGACCTTTCAATCTGTGCAAAGACCTCTATCGGACTTCCTACAGAGTACACAATCAATCTGAGTCTCAGCCACCGAACTCCAGAAGGTGACCAAGCGCTCCATCTTCTTCGGGAAACTCGAGTTTGCTATTGGAAGGTGATAAGAACAAAAATTAAATTAACATATGCATTACTGACTTGCAGTAGGTGAACTTAACAGAAACTAACTTATCATTCAGTTTAGACAGTTTAATATAATAGATTTAAAACTGATTATTTCTTTTCTTAACAAGTAGCATATCTTAAAAGATATTCTTCCAGTATATCAACTATTAAGTAACACTTTCATGATTTAAATTCTATATGTGAATGTGAGTTACAACATCCTTGGCTATAAAAGATCAAAACCGCAAGCATTTTATGAATTATGTTCATGTGTTGTTAAGGATCAAACGCCTATTTTCAAGATTCTTATAGTGCAAAAGGCGAAACTAGAACTAGTAACATTTTTAGAACAGACTCCAAATCACAAACATATCTGGACAAAAATTAATTGAATCAGTGAAACATTAACACAAAGAGATAGAAAGCTAAAAAACTAAATGGTTCACATCCACTTAAATCCACAATTCAAACATAACTACTTTACACTTTAATTAATAGGGATTTTCTTTCAATATAGACGGCTGTATGAACTTTCAGCATATTATGCTGGAACTCCACTATAGTATATTGTAACTCTAGTATATTATGGTAGAAGTTCACATGTAAAAAATTCGAACTCCTATATAGTATGCTGAAATATATTTCGAATTTTGAACAGTATTTTCATTTAAATTTATTTTTACATGAAAACTGACTAAATTTGATTACTTTAAAAAATATGACGACTTTCCAATTATCACCTGTAAATCTGGCTATTTTTGAATTTCACCCTACTAACCTACAAAATAAAGCCCAAATAAGATCAAATATATAATAAAGCCCAGTCCGCCAGAAAAAGAGGAGAAAAAGAGAACAAGAACGCCCCTGTGTTGAGTAGAAACTGGGAAGAAGAGTAGTAGGGCGAAGAAACTCAGCAATATAAACCAAATAAAAGGCGGCAATTAAGCAACGGCTACATAGCTGCAGGTTGTAAACAAACAGAAGGGGAACACTTATATACCAAGAATAAGGTTATGTACCATTTCCTCTTCATTTTGCTATTTTCCGACTTTTAGTAGCTTTATCACAATATATTGTGCAAATGTTATAGGGTTCAGGGGCTGTTTTGTGTCTGTGTCATTTTATTTGGTAATTGGCTTTATTAGTGCAGTTTCTCTATATTAATTTCAATACTCTTGTGCTACATAATTATAGAGTTGAATTTGTTCTTATTATAATACTCTTGTGCTTCATTATCATGGAGTTGATTTATTCCTAATATTTGTTTTAATTTCGATTACAGATTGGGCTAAATTTGCTGCTTACTATTTCTGTCTGAATAAGGGCCTAGAAGTGAAAATTTCTTTTAGATGCCTGCTCCAACGGGTTCAGGAAACATAAAGCTTAGGAAGAAACTAAAAATTGCAAATGGTATATCCAAAGATGATAAAAAGAGTTGTATAAACCTAGATTCTAATGGAAAAGGAGTTCGAAGAAGTAAAAGAGCACAAAATAGGGAAACTGAAAGTTATGGGGTTTCTCATTCTGGTGGTAATGTATCGAGTAAGAAAGGAATCCGTGTGAAAAGCACGGTGATGTCGAATGCTGCGGAGGAAGTTTATGAGGGAGCATTGAAGGGGAAATCGGGGATTTCTGGTGGGAAAAGGAAGAGAGTTTATGCTCATCGAGATATGGACAAACAAGGAACTTTAGAGGACAGTGCTGGAAGTTCTCGTAGAAGGTCCTCACTCAAATCATATAGAACACGAAAATTGGATTTGGAGACGCAAGACAAGTTTTCTGATCCGAGAGAATCTAGAAAGAAGACCTTATATGGTGAAGCTAGAAGGTCTAACAATAGTAAGTTGTCAGAACAGAGCACACGTAAAATGAATTTGGAGAGGCAAGAAAAGTTCTTCGATTCAAGAGAATCTAAAAAGAAGACTTTATATGGTGAAGGTAGAAGGTCTAACAATTGTGAGTTGGCTAACGAGAGGAATTCTAGGAAGGTGAAGGAGATAAGGGAAGTGAAATATGTTAAGGTGGATGGCTATGGGGAAGAAGAAAATGGTAAAAGAAAATCCAAAGAAAGAGAGGCATTGGACCAGAATAGGAGCAAGCAAATAGCTGAATCTCCTAGTAGATTTTTGAGAAAGAAGGTTCAAGAAAAGAAGAGCTTGGGTGCGGATTCAGATGTATATGACCAAAGGCCAAAGAAGAAAAAGCAAGACATTCGAATAGATCCTCATGATACCTCGAACAAGAGGCTTGATGATGGACTGCCTAGTAAAGGTCAGTATCTGAATCATCTAGTTCCACTGCATTATATCTGCTATTCCCCCTATCGGTATCATGTTCTGTTCAGCTTTCAGCCAACACATCCAGCCATATGAGCCCTCCATTATGAAGGGAAAAAACTGCAGTTGTTTCCTCCTGTCATTGTCATGATTTGGCTCCTTTGCAGGAATAGCTGAAGTTAAAGAATTTCAAGTGGATCAAAATTTTAAAAAAATAACAATGTGTAATTTTTGAGCCTTTTGAAGTTGAAATTTGTAGATTTAGATTTAAATAAAATCTTTCTTCACTCGCTTGAAAGATAATACCATGCTTGTGCTATTTCTTATTCTAAACCAGCCATGACAACCTAGAATCTGTTGCGCTTTCGTCAGTGATTAACATGAATAAAAGTGTGGTAGAATCATTTAAACAACAAGAACTGCTACTAGTTAGGGCATCTCCAACCTTTACCCCATTTTTGGTCCCCAAAATGGAGATTTCCCCATTTTGGGATAACTTACTCCAACCATTCCCCCATTTTTTTCCCCAAACTTTTTTATATTCTTCTCTCTCTTCTATATTATATTATTATTTTTCATTTCAATTTCATTTGTTAATTTCCATTAAACAAGTTCCATCTTTTATTTTTATTAATTTGTAATTTCCATAATTAAAACAATTCTACAATAAAATTAACTTATAATTTTACATAAAAATAATAAATGCACGAAAATTAATTTATCAAAATTATACACCAAAGTTAAGATATAATATTAATATTATAAAGACATTACATAAACATAATTAGGTATATATAAAGAGATAAATTAAAAGATTAAATAATAAATTAATAATAAAAAATTGATGAATACTAATGGGGGAGATGAATAGTGTACCCCCATATTTGAGGGAACACTATTCATCCCCCATTTTGGGGACAAAAATGGGGGAGGGTTGGAGCTAAATTCCCCCAAAAATTTCCCCCATTATGGGGGATGGGGGCAAGGTTGGAGATGGCCTTATGCGTCATTCCTAAGCACGTTGGTTTCTACTATATGAATTCTCACTCTCCATGTCGTTCCATTTAAGCCTGTCTTACTCCAGTATAGTTCATCACGAATTGACTAGCTTTACACTAGTTGTCAACCTACCACAACCCTCATGCTTTATCCAGGCTTAGACCGGAAATGTGAGTAAGCTCACTTAGGTGGAGTTGAAACATCTCTACCTTTTTATTGATGCGTGACTTTACAGTATAAATGGATTTCTTTTACAAAGCTTTAGAGTGTAAAATGATGTTCAAAGAATTAAATAACATACTCCACTTTAATTCATATGTCTTACTTTCCTTCTTGGTTTATTCCAATATTAATGTCACTCTTTCTATATTTAGCAAGTTATTAACAACATTTCCATTTTACCCTTAATGACACTCTCTTATAGGAATAACATGGCATGATTAAGACCACATGATCAAGAGGGTGTTTTTGGTATGTTATACTTTGCATTTTTAAACTTCGTGCGTAACCAAACTAAGACACATAAATTGAAATGGAGTACTTTTATTTAACAAAATTAACTGGTAGGTCTGTAAGAACATGAGCTATGATTCTTGACTACTTAGTTTTTTAATAAGTGGTAGAGGCTTTATTATTTTATTGACCTGGAGCAACTATGTTCCAAAGAAATTAACTTTACTGAAACTATTTTTTTCCTTTTAACAGGAGTGCCTAGTGGTTCAAAGTAGAAAAAGCTTCCTCTACTAGTTTTTAACTCCTTTCTCCAGTATAGAGACACTAATAAGCCTCATGCTTATTAGTTTAGTTATCCTAGCTGTTTCATGTCATGTGATGCTAGTTGATGTTCATCTGCAAGTAAAGTAGATTAAGCTTTTTCTGTCTGAACTCATTTTGTCGCTTTCAGATAACAATAAGGAAAAGCAAGAAGATTCAGCGAAAGATAAAACTGTTGAACTGTCGAAGAATGCACAGTTTCGTGCAATACGCCCTAGTCCATCTATCCTTTCTTTTGTGGAAGACAATGTAATCACTCTTTCCAGGATTTGTATGTTTGATTGCCAATATTGTTAGTGCAGACATCTCAGTGTTCATCATTTCTATCTAGAGTCTAAATTCTTCGAATTTATACTGCAGTTGTTGGGTCGTAGACGCGATATTCAGTTAAAGAGGGCAGGCTATAACATTGAACTCTCTGCTCCCTTAGATAACATTCCTTTCTCAACAAGCTCAGAAAGGGAGCGGATTGAAGAGCCGGTACAATAATTAATAGTATATTTTAGATGATATCAAATCCTTGGCATGTCTTTAGCTCAAAGTTTCACTATAGTATGAAGCCACATATGATGCTGATGTTCTCTTTTCATTCTACTCCACTTATTTTCATAGCTACTGTTTCTGTAGGTATTCAGGAATAAGTTGGAATTTTTTGCTGCAGCTAAGGTTTCCTCGTCATTTCCCCCTGCAGATCTTCCAGAGATTGCTTTTGCAGGTTTACTGATCAGTCCCCTTTCTGTTTTGAATTTTCTTTTCCTTTATGCTTGGCTTGAATACTTGACTTTCCTTTTCTCCTTCTTTTTGATGGCTTTAACACGAGCTTGTGTTTTGTGAAAAATGACACACTATCTTCTTGTCTTTATGCATAATTGGTTGACATTGAAGTCCATCAGTTCAGAAATAATTTTTTTAGTAATGTATCCCTTCACTGTGGTAGAGAAGTTAACTCCGGAAAGTTCAATGTAATATGAATTTTATTATTGTTATTGACATCCCATTTACCTTAACTTTTCATCCTCTTGAAAGCTGCATTTATGGGCCCGTTACTATATGGTCATACCATTTTACAAGTATGCCTTTATAAATAATAATGCATGTTCTACGCGATACCTGTCAAAGAATACACATTTTGGAGTCTTGAAGTAAAACTACCATAATGATGCACCTTGATGTGTTGGTTTAAGAAACATAACAGTAATTAAAATGACCAGGCACACTGATTTCTACTGTCCAAGTTATCTGATGTTAGATTCTCATCTTATCCCCTTTGATGTCACATTCTTTCCATTTGACTGGTGGCTATACAAATCTTTGGCATGCTAGAGTGAATTGATTACAACTTAAACATAAAGAATTCAAGTGAGTGTAAATTTGGGTGCCGCCTATATAATTTTGTTACCTTGAAATAGGAAGGTCAAACGTGGGAAAGTCATCTTTACTAAATGCATTGACCAGGCAATGGGGTGTTGTACGGACATCAGATAAGCCTGGACTCACTCAGGTGATACTGTCTTCCTAAACTGAAGTTTGTTTCCTGAGAGACTATACATGAGAGATAACAATATGCACATTTGCAGAGTATTAATTTCTTCAACCTTGGTTCAAAAATGTGCTTGGTTGACTTGCCTGGATATGGTTTTGCTTATGCAAAAGAAGAAGTAAAAGAAGCTTGGGAGGAGCTTGTGAGTATACGATTAGCTTTGACCTTTCTGATCTTTATTTGTGTTACTTGTTGGATTTGTTGGTACTGCCAAAAGGTTCAGGTTTCTTTGTATTAGTTTTGTAAATGCACCCTCTTTGAATGCTCCAATTTGCAGGTGAAAGAGTATGTTTCTACACGTCTTGGTCTAAAGAGAGTCTGCCTTCTGATTGATACAAAGTGGGGCATGAAACCAAGGGATCATGAGCTCATTGATTTAATGGAGAGGTACAAGGATAATTTTAAATAAATTGTCTCTCCTACCTATGAAAATGATAAAAAAGTTATCTGTCCAATGTTGAAGTTAGCTAGATAAAATGTTGCGTATATTCTACCTTATATGGTGCATTACATCAGCCCATGTCTATGAAAGTCTTCAAAATGATGAACTAAGAAAGCCAGTAGTCTGATATGACTTATTCGGCTCCAAGAGAAACTAAAATTTGTCTAGATAAATCAATTAATTCTTCAGTCTTACTCCCTTCCACATGGAAGAAAAAGGGAAACCTGTACCAAAAAGGGGAAAATAATGTGTTTGCAGATATGATGGACTTCTTGCTTGCGTGATTGTTAGCTTGCTGATGACTTGAGTTTTCAATTTTCTGTCTTAATGTTCAGAGCTCAAACAAAATACCAGATTATTTTAACCAAGACAGACACGGTTTTCCCAATAGATGTGGCACGACGAGCCATGCAAATTGAAGAGGTGAACTTAGAAAAATCTTGTGTCCTCTTTATCTAACCTTTTCTTGTATCATGTAAGTACTGATTTTGTACATGCACTATCTTGCAGAACCTCAAGACATACAAGTCGGTAGTTCAACCTGTGGTACTAAGGGCAGATTTCTTAGCTTTAAATTGAGTTTTGGTGCATTTTTGGTTAGAAAACAATAATACTTTGTTTTGGCTTTCCTTCAGGTGATGGTAAGCTCAAAATCTGGAGCGGGTATCCGAAGTTTAAGAACAGTGCTTTCTAAGATCGCTCGGTTCGTGAAACCATAAATGGTAATCCTCTGCCTTTGGTGATGTCCCTTTCATGTATCCTGATGGATCTAGCATAGTTGATGTATTATTATAACTTGAAAGCAAATCCCTGCCATAAGCTGTAGTCTAGGATAGTGTTTCATGAGTTTTCAACACACGCGTATGCTAAATTCTAGTGTGATGCCTCTTGAGACAGAGATCGGAGCTTTAGCTCGATTCTGATTGCATTTCAACATGGCTTCAGTCTTCTAAGTTTGGCTTATTTCTTGAATAGCTAGTAGAATTTAGATTGGCAAGAAACCTAAGAATTATAAAAAGTGTATGCTAAATTCGTGTGTGGTGCCTCTTGAGATGGAGATAGTCAAGTTTTAGCCCAACTCTTATTTAACATAACCTGGCTGCAGTCTTCTGTTACAAGTTGGCGCGTAACTTGAATAGCTAGTGTTCTGTAGATTTGAATTTTTCTGGTCTCCTTCCCATCAATATCTTTCCTTTTTGCTTGTGTTGCCTCAATGTTCTGAGGTACAACTGAAATATAGTATTAGCCTATCCTAGATTTTTAACTCAGTTAAATAATGACAATCTTGAAAAGAAACAAGTCTTACTTGCCTCTGAGCTAATGAGATGAATGCTGTATGGATGGAATGTATAGGTTTAATTACCTAGCATTTTTGCGCCTAGATCAAGGAAATATTTCAGAGAGCATAATATTTGCCGATTTGGTGATATTTTCTATCATATCAGCTGCAAAGCTCTGAATGTCTACCCAGGTCACATTGTTCAATTCGGGGTAAACTGAAAAGTGTAATGACAGTGCCAGTGGATAAAAGGGAGGTCCTTGTTGTGTTGATTTAGATCTAGTCATTCGGTGTAGATCCCTTTCTTAATTTTCTAACCTGTCTAGTTGTTTTGTTTGGTTCTGTGTCATTACTAACTTGGTAGTGGGGAGAGGGGACCTCACGCTCCTCTTCCTCTCAGATGCGGTGCAGCTTTGAGTTGTTTGACGGAACTCTTTGACCAATACTTTCTCCTGCTTTCATTTGGTGGATTAATTACCTCTTTATCTTTTCTGGCCATTATATTCATTGTCTAATTGGTTTTGGCTACTTAACTCCGTAGGCGGTTTCATCACATTTGCTCCATTCTCTCTTTTTTATTTTTTTGTGTTTTTTTGGGGGGTGTCCACAGGAGAATCGTTTCGTCAACTTTTACTACTCCATGCATTTGCCCGTTTCAATGAAATATATATTTATGTTTCCTTCAGTTTGTGAATTGGTGCTGATATTATGAGATGTAACTACTGAACTAGTCCATGTCCTTTTCAGCTTGGCTTCAGTGCAGATCACCTGCCACTATCAACTAGAAAGCAATATATCCAAGGATGGGTATAAACTAAATATGTAGTTTTCTCTTGATTGGTGAAGAATGTTTGTAAAAGATGGTGGCTATTGCAATTTTTCATTCCTGACGTTATTTATCTGCACGATCTTCAACTTGGTCCTGTCGGAGAGCTTCATCTTGTTAAATTCTTCCATTTTTTAATCTGAGTTGTTGCTCAGTTCTGCCCTTTGAATGGGTAGTCTACTGGAATCATTTAATATGTTTGAATTCTGATGTTACTTATATTCAGTATCCTAAAGATAGTGGGGGCAGGCTTTTCTTGGTTAGGAAAAAAGTAAAGTGTGTGGTCACTGAAAATGCAGTGTTTCTCCACCAGTTTTCTTTGACTTAAATGATTGTTAGGTTCTCTGTAGCTATGGAAATCCATTGACATTGGAGTTGGTTGAATTGTTCAAATTATAAAATGCCTGGATTCATTGCTAAGCGAACACACATGGGATACGTTGTTGACAATATTGAGATTTTGTTGTAACAGCTGAATAAGAGATCCTTTGACTAGTATGCCTTAACTTGTGATAAGAGTACTTTCATTTGTTTAATATTCGATGGGTGTGTTTGGTATGATGTTTAAAATTTTTCATGTTTGGTTGGCCTCGTGAACTCTTATTTTTTCAATTGAAGGAAAATGACTTCCCTGCTACAAGGAGGAACAATATTTTTAAAAACTCGTTTT